GATTTCACTCAACACTACACACACACACACACACACACACACACACACATACACAGAGATGCACACACACACGTGCATGGGCAATCAGCTCACATTGGCCAGACGGGTCTCCAGCTGTATAATCTCCTTGGACTTCTGCGTGGCATTGTGAGCTCCCAGCATGCTCAGCAAGCGCTCCATCAGGGCCTTGTACGCCGCCAGAATCTGGGAAGCACAACGACATCAGCACTAACAGACGGGAGGAGCTGCGACATCATCAGTAATGGCCTGATGACGGGGGTGACATGTGGCAAAGTGGACAGGATAACAAAAGCACAGCGGGTGACAGAGGAAAACAGGTGGATTGATGAAGAGGAGAGAGAGATGAGTCAATAGGGCAGATGGAGGAGGAGAGAACGTAAGGAGGGAAAGGAAGGAGGGCAGTGGGAGGGGAGGTTAGAAAGGAAAGAAAGAATGGAAGTAGAGTATGAAGTAAAGGAAAAGCAAAGAAGAAAAGAAAAGGTGATGTATGTGAAGGTAGGATGGAGAAGAAGGAAGGACGAAGTATGGATGGAGAAGGCATCAGGAAGTGGGGAAACAAAAGGAGTGAAGGAAGGGCGGAGAAAAGGAGGATGTAGAAGGGATGATGATAGAGGGAAATGGTGGGGCGGTGTTAAAGAGGTAAGGAAGCATGTTTACCTTCACGCTGTCCTCATCCTGTCCCAGGTAGAGACTTCTCTCAGGCAGCGTGAGCCCCTCCTGATCAATCTGCACACACACACACACACACACACACTAATGCAGTAATTACATTTTTTCTGGCATGTAGTCACATATGTGTTGCTAAGCCCTCAACAGATGCATATTCAAAGGAGTTTTTAATATTTAAATAATCTGTTATAATGCCAGCATTCACAAGCCACTCAACACACTGTATGAATTATTTATAACATTTAATAAATAATGCCCACACGTACAGTCATTCTGTGTGTTGGACTGATATTCATCTTTTATTAAATCTCAGATATGGCTGGCTAATGTTACTCAACTTTAATATCGTCGCTGTCCAATTCAAACCATGCATCCACAAACGTGTTGATTTAGAATTTTTGAGATAAACTGAAGGATTAAGTATTCCTTAATGGGTTTAGAGAATTCTCCTACTTTCTTAAGCCAAACAAACCACTCTAAAGCCTATTTGATTATCTAAAAAATGCATTGTCACAAAGCTGAACACAGCTGCTGTGGTGCCAGTGGCAATATTGGATATTTCCCCTGATAAGAGTTAGTATGTTTTGGTTATTATTACTTTTTATCAAACTGTGTATCAGAGCAGATGTTGCAAACCTCAGTCAGTAAAATCTGTTCTAGTAAACTTCAAGGTTCATCTACTAGCTTTTTCTGGAGCTTTCATCCATATCTCAGTGCCAGCAAATGGAACTTGTTCAGGCGTCATCACATGGCCGAAGTGCAAAGCTTCAGTCGCGTGATAACAGGTGGTTGTATATGTATGGAGGCAACTGAGCAATTTCGATATGCTGAAGAAGGTTTGCGAGAAACACTCAAAAGCTCCGGAAAAGCCCAGCAATTGAGCCTGGACTTTAGAATATCTCATCACAGAAGTATCCCAGGGTTGAGAATGAACTTCTGTGCTCAAGTTCATTCACTCTAATTTAAAGTAACATTAAATTAATACCTATGAATATTATAGTCCATTTCTGCTAATAGATCCTCCTAAATGTTACACACTGGACCTCCAGGTCTTTGCTGATGGTGCACCTAATGAGTCAATGTCATTAATGTCCTGTGACTGTGATGTTTCTGAGGACTGGAACATGGCATTCTTTCACAAATGTACACTCAGTTCCAACATCCTTTTACCCACCCTGATTGCATTCCTGGAGGAGTTTTTGTCGTCCACGTTGACAGTGAGGGAGAAGAAGACGGCAGTGCTGTACACCCCCTGGGTCCTGTACAGCAGCTCATTGAAGTCCGGCCTCTGCGGGGCACCCTCTCTCTCCCACCCAGCAGCACCGGGAGGAGCCCCCACCAGATCCCACCCCCCACAGCTGTCTATCACCTCTGTCATGGGGTCAGAGCCCAGCTTGTCGATCTCCTGGATATTGACGCAGGATCGATAGAACTCCTTGACCTTGCGCTCTGCTGAGTTGGCCCCTTGTCTCCGTATGGGCTCCAGCAGGAGGCGCTGTAGTTTCTCCTCATTGTGCTCTCCTATGGCGGTGATGATTCCGTAGCTTAGCTTGTCCTCTGGGATGCCGTGGCGCCTCAGCCAACCACCACAGGCGAAGGAGTAGAAATCCTGGCAGGGCTGGATTGTTGGGTCAATATTGGCCTGAACGAAGCGTGCCGCCCGCAGCAGGGAGCGTTTGCGTTGGCAGTCCTGTCGACACTGTGGGTCCTGCTGGGCGTCCAGGGAAATGTACTTGAGAGCCAGCATGCTGCCCAAGATGACGCACATTCCTGCTGCAAAGACCAGTGCAGAGAGGAGGCAGATCTCCCTCCGGCTCCATCGAGGAAGCCCTCCGCTGCTGCTGGTGCTGCTTGGATCTTTGTTTCGACCGTTGGACCAGGTCCCTCCTCGGGTACGCCCCATGTGACGGTCCAGGCTGCCTCCCAGGTGAAGGGTCATGCCATTGCTGAGGATGTCACTGCTATAACGGCCACCATATTTCACTTCCTGGAACTCATCATAGTGGGCAGTTAGTGAGTATGTCTTCTCCATGGTAACAGCCTGTGACTAGGTAATAAGTAGCAAAAGGGCGTAAAGAGAAACAGATGACTTTGTTCTATGCTTAGTGTACAGCCATGACCACTCCTACTGAGACAGAAGGGTGGACCCCCACTACAGGGCAAAACACTGAAATGATGTCAAGATCCCGTTGACCCTCTTTAGGCAAAGTCCCCTTTATTCTTTTCAAATCAGAAGCCGGCAGAGCAAGGGGCTCCCATTGTGCATGAGGAATCTCATGGGTCCTGCTCTGTCTCTTTCATCCTCTCTCTCTCTGCTCCCTTTCCATTTGTTCTGCTCCCCTTCCTCTCTCCAACCAGTTACAGGTCACCTGTCGATAAAAATAGAAATGAGACAGGGGAGGGCTGTAAGTCGAGAGCAATAGGAAATTGAATCCACGATTACAACAGCGGAGAATGACAAAATAGCTTTTTTGCCACATTTTTCCCCGCTTTGTCTTGTTCTGTTGTTTGTCAGCTAAAGTTGCTGATTGATTGGTGATAGTCATCCCTCAGGGAGACGATGTCCCCGGGTGACTCACAGCTTTGGATGGATCAATGGAGACAGGAGCAAGGAGCTGAGCATCAGCTGGGCATGGAGAGGTGTGGCAATCACCATAACTTAGCTTGTGTCAGTCTAAATTGATGTAAAACTTTATATTATTACAGAAGGACATGGAGAATTTATGTCCTCCGCCTCACCAAACTGAAGAAAACACACACACCTACAGCACGGAGGGCATCAGCTGATCCTCTATGGAGATTTTAAAGGAATAACAAGCTATCGTATTACAAGCAGCTGCCTAAATATAAATCGTATGCACTTACATCCCACTGTGTTTTCATTTATACTTACGATATATATTATGTATATCATAATATATTATATTATATTATATTATATACCTAATTAGACATTTTCAACACAAAGACCTGTACATGCAGTTATGTCATGCGACAAAAGCAACCAGACTAACGCAGACACACAAAATATTTTTTCAGCTGTTTGCATTCTCCTTTTCTTCTGCTGATGTATTCTACATGTAGCCTGTAGGCAGTATCCAAGCCTTCAGATAGAGAGACTGACTGCTAAACTGTTTTTTGGATCCTGTCCCAGTGTGAGTTTGCAAGCCCTTGTGCGTGTCTGTCTGTGTGTGTGTTTTCAGTGACTCGGTGCAGTGAACTTGCTGAAAGCTGTGAAGGCGATCTGTGAAAATTGATCCCTGTTATCTCCTCTGAGAATAGCAAACTTCAGCACTGATGTCTTTAACAAGCTTTCCCTCGCCTTATGGGAGTGCTGTATGTAGATAAGAAGGAAAGAAGAAGAAATAAATAAATAAATAAATAAATAAGAAGTTTAGTGTTTGCAGGTAAACAGAGAGATGAGTAGAGGGTATCTCAGACTGTGAGAGGTGGTAATACCAATCATGAGGGAGTGGCTGATGGGTTGTGAGTGTGTTAAAGTATTATGTTTTTTGGGGGAAAGGGAAGGACAATGAGAAGAATATAGGGAGGAGGGATGCATGGGTGGTGGAGAGATACAATTCTTCCATACCACTGCAGTGATCTGGTGTTCAAATCCCTGTGGCGATACTTCTGCCTTAGTTGTGTGTTTAACTTGTAACAGTGGAATAATTTCCATATCAGATCATTCAGAAGTGTTAGATTCATATTCTGTGCCAATGCAGGAAGAAGTGTGCCCTTTACACGGCAAGGTAGAAAGGAAAGTCTGAATTAAACTTTCCATGTAGCCGTGAGGGATATGAAATAGATTCGCAAGAGAAATGAATGATAGCATGGACAGTCAACACATCACATCTGCAAACACTCAGTGAGGTCTATACAGAATACTGTGTGCTTCCGCTGTCCTCCTCGCTGTCGATTTCTGCATCCATTTGAGTGCATCAGGAACTTAAAGAAACATACCAATGGTTTTGCAGGTTTTAGCCTATTTACTCCAAATCATCTTTGCGTTACAGTTAGTGATTTTTCTGCAGTGTTTTAGAAGTGTGATGCATTTTTACCCACTCCAGACGTCCATTGACTTTTTCAAACACTCTTAAAATCTATAAGTAGACTATTGAAACTTTGTGTAATCAATCACAGTGAACATCAAGTCTACATATTATCATTCTGCAAACCCGTTGCAGACTTTTCAAATCTGCCTACACTTGAACTGCATTACTATGCAATGATAATGTAACTGCCAAAAACTTTGTACAGACGTAATGCTGACTGTGATTGATCAAACATCTCAAACAAGTTTTAAAACCCAAATGAAATCACACATTTAAACATTTAATGTGACTGTGACGGCCATACATAGACATAAATCGGGACTCAGCCTTAGTACATGGGACACACTCTACTAGGTGAGGTACCGTGGTGCCCCTCAATCGTTTTTTATTATTAAAATTAACAAAAAGAGGTCTTTTGAGAAATATCAGAAATGTCTCAGGCAGCTGGAGGCGCTTGTCTGTGTTTGTTTGACAGCAGCTGGAAGGCTGATCCCTGGCAGTAGAACAATAGACAGAGTACAGCCTATATGACAGCAATTTGTCAGTGGTACTGAAGAGTAGTAACCACAGCAGCATCTAACTGAACCTAAGTGACATTTGCTTGTACATTTGTTCCATGTGAGCAGCTAATTAGATACCTCCAACTTGAATGGTAAATGGTAAATG